TGTTGATGATGGTGTCCCGATGATGATGATGGCGGCGATGATGATGGCGTCCCGATGATGATGGTGTTGATAAAGATTTTGTTGATACTGATAATGGTGTCCCGATGGTGATGATGATGATGTTGATGATGTTGATCATGATGATGATGAGATGATGATGGTTGTGTGCCGATGATGATGATGATGATGATGATGATGTCCCGATGATGTTGATGGTGGTGTTGATGGTGATGATTGTGACGACGATGGTGCCCCGATGATGATCATGATGATGATGATGATGGCGATAATGTCGATGATGTTGATGATGATGATGATGGTGATGGTGGTAATGATGATGGTGTCCCGATGCCGTTGATGATGATGATAATGTTGTCGATGATGATGGTGGTGGTGATGATGGTGTCCCGATGATGATGATGATGATGATGATGATGATGATGATGGTGATCATGATGATGTTCATGATGATGAGATGATGATGAGATGATGATGATGACGATGATGGTGCAGATGATGATGATGGTGTCCCGATGATGATGATTATGATGATGAGATGGTAGTTGATGGTGATGATGATGATGATGAGATGATGATGGTTGTGTTCCGATGATGATGATGATGTTGTTGATGATGATGCTGACGATGATGGTGTCTCGGTGATGATGATGTTGATGATGAGGATGATGATGAGGTGATGCTGATGATTTTGATGATGGTGGCCCGATGAAGGTGATGATGATGTTGATGATGATGGTGTCCCGATGATGATGATGGCGACGATGATGATGGTGTCCCGATGATGATGGTGTTGATGAGGATGTTGTTGATAATGATGATGGTGTCCCGATGGTGATGACGATGATGATGTTGATGATGTTGCTCATGATGATGATGAGATGATGATGGTGGTGGTGCTGATGATGATGATGCTGTCCCGATGATGTTGATGGTGGTGTTGATGATGATGATTGTGACGATGATGGTGCCCCGATGATGTTGATGATGATGGCGATAATGCAGATGATGTTGATGATGATGGTCATGAGGGTATGATGATGATGGTGATCCGATGATAAAGATGATGATGATGAAGATGATGATGATGATGATGATGATGATGATAATGATGATGATGCTGATGATGATGATGATGATGATGTTGATGACGTTGATGACGATGATGTTGTTGATGCTGATGACGTTGATTGTGATATCGTTTGTGATATCGATGGTGAGATCGATAGTGGGACCGAATGTGAGATCGATTTTGAGATCGATAGTGGGATCGATAGTGGGATCGATTGTGAGATCGATAGTCAGATCGATTGTGAGATCGATCGAATGAACTAGATCGAGTGAGATCGATCGAGTGAGAGCGACCGAGCGAGACCGATAGTGAGATCGATAGTGAGATCGATAGTGAGACCGATCGAGTGAGACGTTGGTTCCCCCCCCCCGAACCTCCTTATCACCCGAAGGGTGGTCGTATAGGTATAGGTATGAACGATTGGGAGGAGGAAGAGGAGGAAGAGGAGGAGGAGGAGGTCGAGGAGGAGGAGGAGGGGGTGGAGGAGGAGTGGAGCGAGGAGCAGGTGGAGGAGGAGCAGGAGAAGGAAGCAGAAGAAGAGCAGGAGGAGGAGAATGAGGACAGGAAAGAGAAAGAGGACGAGAAGGATGAGGATGTGCAGGAACGGGCGGCCTCTCCCTGGGTTGTCTAGGGTCGCTCACTCCTTCGGATACCTCTCCAGGCCGTCTCGGGGCCGTCTCTGGGGCCACCTGAAGGCACTATGAAACCGAGACGCCGAACAGGCGCACCATGTTCAACACATAGCCGTGGACAAGTTTTGGCTGTCCAGGGCCTCCTCTTGCAGTGTCTCGGAGCCTCCCCGGGAGGCTCTTGCAAGCCTGCTGGGGTTCCTTGGGGGACCTTAGGGACTCCGGGCCGCATGTGCCTTTCTGTTGAACAGGTTGGGCTTCTCGAGGGTTCGCGCAACGCACCCTGAAAATTGTAATACCGCGGTTCGGGGCCACTCTCAAGAAAGCTGCACTCACCGCTTGCAGTTGCATGAGCCTCGGATCACTTCACTACCCGGAGAAGGCACAGTACAGTAAGCAGCTAGCCACCTTGAACTTCAATGTTTTAGCAGCCCGCATCTAACCGCAAACAGCACTTTCCCATTTGCACTTGCCCAGGAACTCCAATAAATGTTGTATTAACATGGTTGTGGGTGATATTGTTAAGGCAGAATCCTCTCCAGTTGCGATGCCGCGGGGATCTGGCGAGGCGCTTGAAGAGGCTGCGAACCCACGCTTTCGCATGGCAGGCTCGGCCTTGGCATTGCATGGTTGTGGTGGAGCCCTTGGCGGAGCCTTTTTCTGTGCTGTTGCGTGGCCCCACGGGGCCTCTCGGATGGGGCAGTTGGGGAGGTCGTTGTTTATCCTGGAGTGTGTTGTGGTTATCTTCTCCGTCGGGCAGTGGCCGGAATATTGCTGCCGTCTTGGGGGTCGTGCTCCTTTTCTGGAGGTCTAGGTCGCCTTGGGGACTGTTACGTCTCCTCGCGTGGGGATGCTGGGGAACTGATGGTAGCCCAACATCTCGCACACAATGTCACAATCGATGTTGTACGTTGGGTAGTTTTGACATGGAAAGGCCAATCACGCTGAGACTTGAAGCTCAAGCGGAAGTAGCTCTCGGGCCCATTCCGTGCAGATGTGTATGTGTGGATGAACGGGCGGGGAAGGCGAGTTGCGGTGTCATGCGCATGTCGAGGCGAATGCGACGCCAGATGCATGAGTGGATTGCGATTTAACGAATACATGTTACGCGCATGTGCACACCAGGATTGTGAACGTAGGTTCACTTAGCCTATGCATGGTCACGCAGTAAGGTGGCACCATAAGACTGGCCAGACCAGACGCTCCCTCGTCAGATAGCAGCTTGCCTGAGCCAGATGGCAGAAGCCACTACTGCAAGCGGCTTGAATTAGGAACACTCACTTTTCAAAAGGGGCTTGGTCGTTCCTTTGGTTTGCATGCGTTCCGCCACCTTTTTTGGCGGCGAGCGCCCCTGGCGTTCCTTCAGACTTTGGACGCGCGGTTTCGTTCTGTCGCTGAGGGCGGCTGGTCTGAGGAACGGGGCTCCAAGAGGGGCTCGGTTCTGCTAAGGTAAGGCCTGGGGCGGGGGTTCGGTCGTTCCTTTGGTTTGCATGCGTTTCGCTACCTTTTTGGCGGCGAGCGCCCCTGGTGTTCCTTCAGACCGTGGACGCGCGGGTTCGTTCTGTCGCTGAGGGCGGCTGGTCCAGGGAACGGGGCTCTAGGAGGGGCTCGGTTCCGCTAAGGCACAGTCGGCCCGGATGAGTAGGTTGACCCTGCCAAATCAAGGGTACCCTTGTGTCCTGTGTCTCGCGACCCGTGCCTCCTGCATTCCTGGCAATCTGGCCCTCGGAAGGGTCTTGTGTCCTCTCGCGTGTGCTGTCCAATGACGTCCGACTGTGAGGCCTTGGGCTGCGCTCCAGGGCGGTCTCAACCTCTCAGCCCTGGGTGCGTGGGGGCGCCCCAGGAGCGCCGCCGGAGGCGGCGCCGCGGCGTTGAGAGCGCGCGCAATCTGAAGCCTTACCAGCATCAGCGATTGGAGAAGGAGGAGGAGGAGGAGGAGCAGGAGAAGGAGGAGGAGGAAGGAGGAGGAGGAGGAGGAGGAGGAGGAGGAGGAGGAGGAGGAGGAGGGTGAGAGGGGAGGGCAGTCGAGAGCGGTGACGACGAGCTGGTCCATGACATGTCTCGGCCGTCGGGCGCGCCAGGCGCTGCAGGCGGCGCTCGGCGGCGCCGCCGCCGACGGCGCTCCTCTGCCCGCCCCGTGCGGCGCAGCGCGGCTCGAGGGGCTCTCCGCTGCAGGCGCGGTGGCGGAGGTCCACGGGCGGCGAGCGGCGCTGCGCCGAAGAAGCGCATCGTCTGTGGGTGCACGGCAAGTTTTCGGGTCGTGTCGCCCGGCGGCGGCCCCGCCGCCGGCGTTCCAACGTTGAGCAGGAGGGAAAGAAACACACAGACAGAATTAATCGTCGACTCCCAGGAAAATATGCAAAAATGTGGGAAGTGGTGGGGGAGACAAAAACCCAGAAAATATGGGAAAATATGGGGGATCATTTTATTTGTGTGTATTTATTTTTGTGTGTTCCAGTTCCCCTCTAGTTGAGCACTGCCGGCGGCCCAGAATCGGTCGATGTTGAACGACCGGACGTTGCGGGAGCGACTGGTCGTTCAAGCTGGAACGGTCCCCGCGGTGTCAGGAACCAGCGCTGGGGTCTACACGACACGAATCTGTCGTATGCCAGCTTTTGCCTCTGGGGGTCCTCGCCGAGCCCAGGGATCGTCGACAGACGACTCGGGACGAAACACCGACCCTGGGAAACGGGTCGGTATTCCCGTGGACCGCGCATTGAAAGAATCAGGGCGTCCTTCTTTTACACTTACAAGCGGCGAACATATCCGTATCCGCGCCCTCGCGGTCTGCTTCTTGGGGCGCGATCCCGAGGATACGCGGTGGTACGGATACGTTCCACGCGGGGCATCCGCGAGGAAACGTCCCTCATCCCCACGGTCGTGGCCCAGGGCCCAAGTTGATGAGGTCGCAGATGCGGATGAGGACGCATACATACATACATCCATACATATATATATATATATACATACACACATGCATGCTTCACTGTATAGTTGTATGCTCCTACGCGTGCATGCATGCATGATTTCATACATGCATAAATGCATGCATACATCCATACCCACATACGCACACACGCGTAAACACATACCTACGTGCATGCATGCACTCACACACACACGTGCACACGCACGTATGAACACATACATAAGCACCTACACATACCTACAGACATACACATACACATGCACGAACATGCACACATACATACAACCTTACAGGCAAATATGTTTGCATACGTACATGCATACATGGATGCATCTACGTACATGCATACAGACATGCATGTGCACATGCGTAAATGTATACGTACACACATGCATACATGCACACATACATGCACACGCCTACATACAGATATTCATACATGCATGCATACAAGTATACAGCCGTACACACATACTTACGTACATGCATACGCACATACACATACACACGCATATTTCTATACAGCTATACAGTCATGCATACACGCACACGTGCATACATACATGCAGACATGCATATGTATATGCATACATGCATGCATCCATATACACATACATGCACACATGTATGCATACACGCATGCATGCATGTATCCATGGCTCCTGGGGCGTTTGGGGGCCGTCTAAGTGGGATGTTGGGTGCCCCTCGGGCTGTCTTGAACCATGCATCCATGCATACACGTATGCAAATACATACACATGCACATGGCATAGGTACACTTGTACATACACATATACACACACACCTGCACATACACATACACATGCACGCTATATGCGTGCATGCGCACATGCATGCTTGCACACATACATACATGCACGCATGCATTCAGACATGAATACATACACGCGCATACATACTCACATGCACACATACATACATATAGTACATACATGCATGCAACCATACATACACACGTACGTACGCACATCAGCACACACATACACATACGTTTCTTCATACATGCATCCATACATCCATACGTACACGCATACATGCTTACATACATCTATACATACATACATTCATACATCCATCCATACATACATACATACACACATACACACATACACACATACACACATACACACATATACATACATACATACATACATACATACAAACATACATACATACATACATACATACATACATACCCATCCATGCTGAAATAGACATACATACACTTACATGTACGTATACCTATACACATATATATATATGTGTATATATATATATATGTGTATATATGTATATATGTATACATATATATATATATGTATATACATGTTTATATATATATATATATGTATGTCGGCGGTGCCCGGTGCGGAGCGACCCCCCCGGAATCGCTTGTCCTGGGGGGATCGTGCTGGCCGCACCGCTGGTGCAGGCCGGTACGAACCCCCCCAGGATGCACGAACCCCCCCGGGGCCGGTGCGCCCCGGTTCGAACCCCCCGGGGACGCCCCGCCGATGCGCGTCTGTACGAAAGCCCCCGGGATGGCCAGAGCGCGGGGCAGCGCCCGGGCTGCGCGTGCGAGCGTCCAGCGGCGGCGTCGGCGGCGGCATCGGCGACGACGGCGTCGGCGACGGCGACGAGGACATCCAGAGATCCCCAGAGGCCCCCGCAGCCCCAGAAGCTTCCCGGAAGTAGGCGGCCGGACGTTTTCGGAGCTTCCCGGAAGTAGGGGGCCAGCTTTCCGCAATCCCCCGGAGGTCTCCCTGGGGCTCCCCGCCCCTCCTTCAACTCCTCCCCCTTCCGGCGGACTCCTCCGCAATCCTCACCGCTCCTCCCGACTTCCCCATTCCATTGCAGTCTTCGGCCCTCCTCGGCACTATTCCCGCCTCCTCCCCATCCTCCAAGCTCCTCTCCACTCCATCGCACTCCGCGGCTCTCCTCCCAGTTGCCCCAGACTCCTCCCCATGCCATCGCCCTCCTCGGTGCTCTTCACGATTCATCCCCACTCCATCGCACTCCTCACCGCGACAACGACGCTGACGACGACGACGACGACGACGACGAGCACGACGCCGACGACGACGACGACCACCAGGGCGACCACCGCCACCACCACCCCGCGCTCGCAGAGGGGGGCGGGGGGGGGCCACCACGCCACGCTCGCAGTGGGGGGGGGGCCCATCGCGCGGGGGGGGGGCCCGATGGCATCAGCGTGAGGGGGGGGGGGCCAGGCCCTGGACCGTCTCATATCCGTCCGTCAATCCGCCCATCCATCCGTGCCTCCATTCATCCACCTAGTCCTCCCTCCCGCCCCGCGCCCACGCCCTAAATGCCCACCCCCCTCGCTCCCACGCAGCCCCCCCCACTCGCACAGGAGCCCCCCGCCCCGCTGCCACAGGGGGGGGGCGCCTGTGCGCCCGGTACAAATACCCCCTGGGGAAGAGGGAGAAGGGGGATTTCCAGGTCGTCGGCGGCGCCCGGTGCGCCCTGTACGAAGACCCCCGGGAAGGCGGGGGGGGGGTTCGTGCCACGGGGCACCGCCGACGTATGTATATATGTATATATGCATACATACATACATGTATACGTACATGCATACACACGAACACACATTCACGCACACGTACAGGCATGTATGTATGCGTGCGTACATACTGCATGCATGCACGCACGCATACATATTTTTGCACATGCGTGCGTACATACATACATATATACATGCACACGCATTCCGATTTTTTTTTATAAGGCTGGGGACCCCGGAAAAAACGCCCCCCCCCCGACCTCGGAAAAAGCGCCCCCCGCCCCCCCCCGAACGAATTTGGCACAAACCCAGCCTTGTCGGGCAACCCTCCAGACGGCCCGGGGGAACCCCACGAGAGCCCGAAGACGGCCCCAGAGGACTCCAGGCGTTCGGGCGCGCTCCCGAAACGACCCCAGAGGGCCCCACGACGGTCCACGATGACCCTAAAGAAGCCGTCATACCCCCAAAGATCGTTCCAACACGTCCCAAGAGGCCTTTAAGAACACTTCCAAGAAGGCCCCAATAGGCAAGCTTCATTGATTTTGCTTTTGGGTTTTTGGTGGACTTGCGGGTTCCCTTTCGGCTGCCCAGTGCTTCCAGACGGCGGTTCTCTGGTCGCCCGAAGCCGCTTGGGAGGTTCGAAAATCACCTCGTGAACATCCGGAAAAACTGTTTCAAGCAGTCCAAAAGGGGCCCAAGACAGCACAGCGGGGATCCAAGATGGCCGAAGAGAGCCCCATGACGGCCCAAGATGGCCCCAAGACATCCTCCGAAGCATTCCAAATCGCGACCCGGTCGTTCAGGGAGGCCGCAGCCCCCAGAGGCCCCAGAGGACGCTCAGGAGGCTTCCAAAAGTTTTAAACAAACTTGAAGAACTGTTGTGAGGCCCCAAGGCTCTCGAAGAAAGAGCCTCCGCAAAAAGAGCTGAGGGGGATGGGGCACATGCGCAGGGTATGGCGAGAATGAAGAGATAGAAACACGGAGGAAGGATAAATAATTACATTAATGTAGCGGCGATGCCAGAGAAGGTCGGCTGGACCTTCATGCCAATCCGCCTGCATACTAAGCTGCAGGGACCAATGTGCATGGCGCGAAGCGGCAACGCAGTCTTTTGCCTCATGTACATATATCTACACATGTGTGTACATATATATATATATACATATACATAAATAAATAAATACATAAATCAATACATAAATACATGTGTATATATATATATAGAGAGAGAGAGAGAGAGAGAGAGAGAGCGTGCCTGCTCGTTTATAGTGCACATCGCGTGGCCAGCAGTTTTGTGGGAAACTGGGGCATCTACATTGCCAGTGGCGGATTGTTTTTTCAATCCCACGACTTTTTGAGGGTCGGGGACGAAGTCGGGGTTGTGTGGTGTATACCTTTCCCCCGTTTTCCCAGGGAAGCAACGAAACATGTGTACACCAGGATCCCGTATACACCAGGATCCGCGTTCTTATGCGAATTCCAGCGCAGGGTCGAACAACAAAATCGGTGTATAGAGTTCGTTCTTATTTTGCCGCGAAATTCATTCCATGCGCGCCCGCTCGCACGCGTTGGCCATCGCGCTCCCAGCGCTGATGCCACGAAACTCAGTCCGAACGTGCCCGCTCGCTTCCAGTGCGCATTGCGTTGCCCGCAAGGGTTGGCTGGGATTGGCCGGGAGGTTTTGCGACGCCAATTCTTAGATAACCAAGTCTCTCTATAATATAGCGTGTATTCATATATATATATACACATACATACATACATACACATACCGTGTCTGTTTGCTCGTCCACGTGAGGTTGCCGACCTCGCCGAGGCCCTCTTCCTCGCTCTGCGAGACCCCTCGCAGAGCGAGCTGGCGAGCCGCTGCCGTGCGGCCGCGGCGGCCCTGGAGGCGCCCTCCCTGCTTCCCTCTTATTCAGGAGGCAAAATAACACACGGACGCAATTAATCGTCGGTTCCCCAGAACTGTGGGGAAGTATGGGAAGTGGGGGGGAAGACCGAAAGCCCAGAACAGCTGGGAAAATACGGGGGATCCTGCTATTTGTGTGCATTTATTTTTCTGGGCCCCTTCCCTCTGCGTGCGCGCGCGCGCGCTCGGCAGGCAGGTCCGTCGCCGCTTCCGGGGCCGAGGCCGGGGCCGCTCGGGGGGGGACGACGCGGGAGCGAGCTGCACACGCACACGGGCCCTCCTCGCAGGCTCGCGCGGATCTCCGGGCGTCGGCGCTGCACCCCCCTTCTCTCCGGCGCGCTCCCCGCGTCCTCGCAGGAGCGTCGGGGGCGGCAAAGAGGGGGGGTGATGGCTAGGGGGGGGGGATAACATGGCGGGGGCCATGCTATTTCCCCAGGTGTCATGGCGCCTCGTCTCATTTCATTACGTCCCTGGCCCCCCCGCTGGGCCGCGCACGTGCCGCCGGTCATGATTTGCACCCCCCCTCTTGGACACCCCTCTCTTGGCCGCCCCGGACAGAAGGGAGGGCCCGACCTCGCGCGTTGCTTCTCGCATCCTCGCATCCTCCCTCCGTCGTCGCGCAGCACGGACGGCTGATAGCCCGCGCCGCCAACGCAACGGGCGATCTGGTTGAACACAAGACGTCCCGAGCCCGTGTGTTTCAATGGCAGCAGACTGGGATCCAGCCTCGACCCACGAAATCAACTTGGACCTCCGTTTATTAGGATGCAGCTAAAGGGACGTTATAGCCAGCATTCCGCATCGGCTCTGGTTTATACGTGGTCGAAATCCAGCAGTGCGAGTGCGGCGTCATCCTGCTTCATTCCGCCTGCTCCCGCTAAATCCTTTGCGCCATTGGGCCTAGTCCTGGGTTCGATCGGGGCTAATTCGGTTCAGTGGTCTCCCTGATCGGGCGATATAGCAATTTTTCCTACGAAGACCTCCCAGGAGTTGCCAGTTTGACCTCCAGCCAGCATCCAGCAGCAGAACTCCAGCTCCCGACACAACCTCAACAGTCCGACTTCTAGCCCCCAGCTTGCAGCCGTGAGGACCTTCTCGTGTGAGTCAGAGTTCTGCAGGTTTTGTCGCGGCCACTTTCGGGCCAGACGAAAAGGGGGGTTGGGAAAGGGGGGGGTACGAACACTGCTGCATGTAGCTGGTTTCGACCCCACCGAGGGGCCCATTCCTGGATACACAGCCGCCTCCCCGCGCCAGGAGGCGCCGGGAAAATCAGCTACGTGGAGCTGATTCTCACCCCCCCCCCCTTTGCTATCCCCCCCTTTCGCCCGGCCCGACACTCGGGTCCAAGACGAGATCGGGGCAGCCGAGGGACGCATCGGTGCCAACGTTGGCACTTTAGCAAGAGGAGCGCAGAGGGGGGACGGGCAGCCGCGGGCAGCGGAGCACGATCCGAAGCGCGATCGCGGGCACGGGCGCACGCGCTTCGCCGCATGAGCCTGCACCAGCGCCTCACTCGCTCGACCACTTCGGGAGCCTCGAGACAGGGGTCAATGCAGACGGGGGTCGGCCAGAGCGCCCGATCTTGCAGGATCCCGCAGGGGCAGGGCCGCCTTGACCCGGGTCTGGGCGCCGGTTCCTGCGGGATCCTGCGGGCTCCTCCGCATCGACCCCCGGGTTTGGGTGCAGGATCCTGCAGGATCCTGCAAGGTCTGACTGACCCGGGTCTGGATTGACCCCGGGTCAGAAGAATCCCGGATCACTCGCCCTGAGGAGTCGCCGTCGCCCGCGTTCTGTTCCTCCCGAGGCGGCCGTGGGGGCCCTCGGGCAGAGGCTGGAGCGGGAGCGCGAGCTGGCCCGCGAGGCGGGCCGGCCCAGCGCCGAGCTCCAGGCGGCGGCCCGCGCGGAGGACGGCCTCACCAAGGACACGACGGCCATGACCGAGATCCGCCGACAGCACGCGTGCACCGCACCGCGGCGGCGCCTCTCGAGGCGTCGTCGAGCCTCGGCCCAGGAATGGTAAGGTGAGTAGACGTCCGGCCCCCAGAGCAAAAAAGCACTATGAACCGCACCGCGCTGGTGCGGGGCCTGGCGGGAGCCCAGACATGGCACGGGGCCTGCGCGCCGTGCCATGCCTGGACTCGCTGGATCTTGACGACGCCGTTCTTGGTCACACGCTTGGCGTCGGACAGATAGATCGATGTTGCGCGCTATCATTCCAACGCCAGCCGTAGTAAATGCGGGCCGAATTGACGGTAACCAGGTTGGGCGACGGCCTAGATCGACACCGACGTTCCCGCGTTGTTTCTTTCGGATGCAATTCCTGGGAGGTTGAATGCAGAATAGGCGCTGGTAGATTTTTGGTCGAGAACTAGCCGAATCTCGTGCAATGCCGGCTTAATCCAACTAAGTTCTGCGCAATCCTTCTTCATCTGGTTCAATGACATGCGCAATGAGGCCACATCCGGCTCAGTGGCCTTTCAATCGAACTTAGCAGCCCTTAATCGACCAGACGATTAATGAGACGAAGTCCTCCCAGGAGCTGTCTTGTAAGTTCATTCCCATGTCGAGGAGCAGAGGCGGGAGAAGGCGATATTCGACGGCCAGCAGGACTTCGGCTGGGACACCGGTCTCGAAGCCCGCGTCGGCCGGCGCCGCGAGCACCTGCAGCGCGCCTTCGCGGAGGCCGTCGCCGAGGCCGAGGGGGCGCTGCAGGGCCGCCGGCGGGGGGTGCGCGACCACGAGCGCGCGGCGGCCTTCGGCAGGCTGCAGGAGCTCGACGAGCGCGTGCGGAGCGCGGAGGCTCTAGCAGCGGCGAAGCGTCCTGGCTCGCCTGTAGCCCTACCAAGCAATGTTCTAAGAGCCTTTTCTGCGGTGTCCAGAACATGTTCTTAGAGCATTTCTGGCTGGGACTGTCTTGTTTTAACCCATCTGGGGATTCGTTCTAAGAGCATTGTTTTTATTCTTAGAGCCTTTTCAGGTTCTACGAACATTTCGTGGTAGGACGATCGGAGTGCCGGGACGGTCGGTCCCTGCTCAAGAGGCGGAGGCGGAGGCGGTACTCCGCGAGGCGGAAGCGTCGGTCGCGCGGGAGGCGGCCGAGCTCGAGGCGGACCGCCGCAGGGTCCACGAGCAGGTGCAGGCCCTGTTCGCGGCGGCGGCCATCGTGCGGCAGGAGAAGGCCAAGCTGGCCGAGGTCTACTATGCTCCTGCCAAGGAGCCGCAGAGGGCAGCCGCACGCCACCGGGCGTGGCCCGCCTGGCCATAGAGAGCCCTCCTCGGCCCCGGAGCGGTGCGGAGGCCCTTTCCTGGCCTCGGCCGCACAGGGCACAGCGCCGGGGCCCAGGATGGCCCTGGCCGGGCGCGGCGGTGGCGTGCTCGGGCGCCCCCCTGCGCAGAGGAGAAGCGGGACGTGAGCGCGCGGTGCCTGCGCAGGGTGCGCCAGCTGAGCCTGGACATGCAGGGCCTCGCGCCCGCGGTCGCCCCGGAGCTGAGGGAGCGGCACTCGGTGCTGCTCTACTTCCTGCGCGTGCTCGAGGCGCGCCTCGCCGCCGAGTGCTCGCAGGTACAGGTCGGCGCCGCGGAGGGCGGTGCCCTCCACACCCCGGAGGTCAAGAAGCAGCTGGCGGAGGCGGACCTGGCCTTCGAGGCGCAGCTCGCGGGGGAGCTCCAGAGCCTCCGCGGCGCGCGCCAGCGGCAGGCGGCCCGCGGTGCCGAGCAGGTGGCCCGCCAACGCCGCGAGGAGGCCGAGCACGACCTCGGCGACGCGCCCGCGGCCGCGCGCGCGGCCCTGGAGGAGAGCCTGCGGGAGGCGGCGCTGGCGAGGATTCGGAGGGAAGCGAAAACGGCATAGACGAAATCGTTTGGAGCTCCGCGCGGGTCTCTCAGTCTCTTGAATCGGCGCTGGACCCCCCTGGCGGTGCCTCCGGCGCCGCCCCTGGCGCGCTCCGCACGCCTGCCAGGGAGGGAGGCCCAGCGTCGATCCAAGAAATCCGCCTGGTACTCCGAACGTTTGCGCTCCCCTGAGGATCGCCGTGGGCACGTGGGGCCCCCTTGCGGCGGCCGCGGCCCGGCTGCAGGGCGAGGCCTTCCGCCACCTCGAGGTGGCGGACAGCCCCTTCGAGCCCGGCGGCTTCGGGCCCAAGCGCCAGCGGATCACCGCCGCCGTCGAGGCCACGCTCGGTGTGCTGGAGGGCTGCCGGGCGGGCCTCCGCGCGGCGCGCGGCGCGCAGCTGGGCGAGGGCGCGCCCGTGCCGCACGAGTGGGCCGAGCTGCTGGCGGGCGTCGAGGGGCGCTGGCTGGCCTTCTGCGAGGCGCACCCGCCCGGCGGCGCGGCCGAGGAGGAGGCGCGGGGCGCCGAGGCGGCCACGCCGCGGGCCGCGGACGGCGGCGGCGACGGCGAGGCCAGCGGCGCCTCCGCGGGCGGCGCGCCGCGGTCGCCAGTTGTGGCCGCCCCCGCCGGCCGCGCGCGCGGCCCGCGCGCGCCGCCGAGGTCGGGGGCGCCGGGCGCCGGCGCGGCGCCCGGGCGCGCGGCCAGCGGGAGGGCAAGCGGTTTGCTGGCGCAGCTGGACCGCCGCGGCGGCGCTCGCAGAAGTTCAGCGAGCGAAGGAACGGTATAACATTCACTTTTTTAGCTGTCGGGGGCGCCTGTCCCAGGGCGGCTGGAAAATTTATACCCTTACGGTGGCAAGTTTATTTTATACCGTTCTTCGCCCGTCAAGAAGTTTCGAGGTGTCCTCGACGGTTGCCGAGCCTCGGGAGGCTCCCCAGCAGCTGCGCCCTGCGGGGGGGGGGTGCTCCGGGGGTGCCCACAGGTCGTCGTCCCGAGCGGCCGCCGGAGGACCGAGGTCTGACCCGAGAGCCGTGCGGTTGACGCCGAGGGGGGCGCCCTCGTCGCCGCGGGCGCAGCTCGGGAAGCTGGCGCGTTGGCTCGGCATCGCTCGGACGTGTGCATTTTTCCTTCGGCGAGGACCATCGAGGAGCATCCTTGATCATTTGGCGAAAAAGCCACGCACGAAACCAAAAAGGCACACGGAATGGACGTCCGAGCGATGGCGAGGGGGGCCGATTGCGAGCTGCCGCTGCCTCAGCTCGCCCTGCTGCGAGTTCTGCGACCCACTGCGAGCCCTTCCCGTGCGGGTCCACTCGGCGCCGGGGTGTGGGGCACCCCGGTGGGGCGTGTGGTTGCTCGGTAGCGGGGCAGGGCGGGAACCTTTCTGAGAGCCCAGAGGTCCGTCCGATCCCGATTCGGGATCGGACTCTTCAGCGCTTCTAGACATCGTTAGATGGCTGATCGGGATCTGGAAAATCCTCCGATCCCGAATCGGGATCTGGCTAAAGTTGGCCCATGATAAAACTTATGATGTAAGCGCTGTCGTTGAAAAACGCACACACATGTAACGCTGTAGTGTATGCTAGCACGTAGGGTTGCTCACATATCATGTGAAACTCAACTCGTTCGCGGGTCATCGGGCAAAAAAAACGAGGGATCATTAATATGTATGTGTAATTAGTCCTCCTCCTCCACCTCCTCCTCCTCCTCCTTTGCCTCCTCCTCCTCCTCCTCCTCCTCCTCCTCCTCCTGTTCCTCCTCCTCCTCCTCCTTTTCCTTTCCTTTTCCTCCTCCTCCTCCTCCTCGTCCTCCTCCTCCTCCTCCTCGCCGCCGCCGCCGCTGCCGCCGTCGTCGTCGTCGTCGTCGTCGTCGTCGTCGTCGTCGTCGTCGTCGTCGTCGTCGTCGTCTTCGTGATCGTTGTGTTCGTCGTCGTGTTCGTCGTCGTGTTCGTCGTCGTGTTCGTCGTCGTGTTCGTCGGCGTCGGCGTCGTCGTCGTCGTCGTCTTCGTGGTCGTTGCGTTCGTCGTCGTGTTCGTCGTCGTGTTCGTCGTCTCGTGTTCGTCGTCGTAGTCGTCGTCGTCGTCGTAGTCGTCGTCGTTGTCGTCGTCGTCGTCGTCAACGTCGTTCTCGTCGTCGCCGTCGTCTGCCGCTGCCGCTGTCGACACCATCGTTCTTCTGCCTGGACCTCCTCCTCCCCGTTCGTTTCCTCCGTCTGCGCTTTTATCGCAGCATTTTTGCTTCAAGCCTTTCATGGTGAAGGATATCACCTGGGACCACGTGCCCAAAAGCCCTCATCGGACTCCACTGGGCAAGGCGCTCAAGCTCCAACCCAGGATGTCGAGCTCGGCCGAGACGGCCGAGGACCTCTCGCTCGTGAACGCCGAGCTCAGGGAGCAGATCGCCAAGATGGACAGGGAGGTGCAGCAGTTGCGAGATCTAGTGGCGGCGGCCGCGTCGCAGAACACCCGCGTTGATACCGCGGAGTCGCCCAGCAGCGGTTCAGCCACAGTCCCTGCCACGGAGCACGAGGCGCAGGCGGCGGCGGTGGCGGCGGTCTCGGGGGAGGCAGCGGGCACGGCGTCAGTGCCAATCTTGGCGGCTGCACCGGCGGAGGAGGCTGCACAGGCGGAGTCCTCGGATGAGGCGCCGCTGTCGAACACGGCGATGGACTTGCAGGCAGTCCGCCAGGCGGCTGGCGAGGCATGGGCGGCGCAGGCGGCGGCGCAGGCGGCCTTCCAGGTCAACGGGCAGCTAATGTTGAACCACCGTGAGGTTTAGCTCAACGACCGCATTTTTTATTTTGCGGAGTGTTGAGCGCGAAGCTTCGCTTCTGGTTCGGCATTAAATGCTCTCGAGGGGGTGGTCGACGTGGAGGCCGAGGACATGCTCGCTGCGCCCGTCGAGGCGCCCCTCTCGCAGAAGAAGTTGGACGCTATGATGCCAGAGGGTGGCTATAGCCAGGCAAGGGTGGGAGATGACTCTCTCGATACGGACTATGACGAGGCCTTGCAGGCGAGCCTGACCGAGGAGGATGTCCAGCGGGCGCTCAAGGCGAGGGAGGTCCATGAGATGGCCATCGCCATCAGCGCGAGCAAGGAGACCGCGGCGGCCCAGGGCATCGAGGTCGTTGAGCCCAACCCAGAGTCCCGCTGCAGCGACGGGAGCGATGGGCGTGGCTGGCAATCCAAGGAGCGCTTTCTTGTCGTTTCTCCTCCTCGGCCTCCTCCGCCTCCTCCTCCTCCTCCTCCTCCTCCTCCTCCTCCTGCTCCTCCTCACCCACCCCTCCAAACTCCATCGCGGTATCCATCGCGATGGATTCCGCGATGGAGCGTGGAGTCCAATTTCCATCGCAAAATCCATCGCGATGGATTCTGCGATGGAGTTTGTAACTTGCCCGCTGGCCCCTCAGGAGTACGACCTCGCCATGGCTTGCGTTGTGGCCGCGCAGCAGTCCGCCGCCGAGGACTCGCCGCTGTCGTCGTCGTCGTCGTCGTCGCCACCTCTTCCCTCCAGCTTTGGACCGTCTCAGTTGGGAGGCGATTCCATCGCGGAATTCATCGCGATGGATTCCGCGATGTGTGTTTAGGGGGGATACAATGTGGACACAAGTGAGGGCGAGGAACAGGATGACTCGAAGAACGACGGGGACGAATAGGAGTGTGAGGATGAGGAGAAGGGCAACGAGAGGGATTTCGAGGAGCAGGATTCAGAGGAGAAGAGTTCCAGTGCCCCACGGAGGATAGCGCTGGCCCAGAGACCCCGCCGAAGCACAGACGGCGGGCCGCCGAGAAGGCGAAGAACGACGTCGAATCGACCATCAAGGATCGATTGGGGTTGCCGCCGCTGGCGCCGCCGCTGACGCCACTGCTGCTCCTCCTCCTGCTAATCCTACTCCTCCTCTTCCTGCTCCTCTGGCCTTCGTAATCCTCGTAACCTCCTCTCCTCATCCTCCGCCCCTCCTCGTCTTTGCCCCCCTACTCGTTCCCCTTCCTCGCCCTCCTTCCCGCCCCCCTCCCTCCTCGTCCTCCTCCCCCTCCTTCTCCCCCTCCTTCTCCCCCCCCCCGTCCTCCTCAGCCTCCTCCTCCTCCTCCTCCTCCTCCTCCTCCTCCTCCTCCTCCTCCTCCTCCTCCCCCTCCACTCCTCCTCCGGTCAAGCCGCTACTACGGCTCAGGAAAGCCGTAGTTATGCGAGGCGCGTGGAGGGCTCCGCCGCGATGACACCGAAGCTCGACAAGACCGAGAAAGCGGCTCCCGAGAAGAGCCAGATCTCCAAGCTCATACTGGTGTGGAGTTTTCACATCGGCAAGGCGGGCGTGCACCCTCTCCTACTACACCTCGTTCGTCTCCTCATCCTCCCCCTCATCCTTCTCCTACTCCTCATCCTCTTCCACCTCGCCTCCTCCTCGTCCTCCTCCTCGTCTCATCCTGCTCCGCCGTGTCTCACCTATTCCAAATCCTCCCCACTCCTGCCGTTCCCGCTCTCGTCGTCGCGTCGCCCGCCTTCCGCCGCCCACTGAACAGGCGGATTCCGTGGTCTACAGCACCGACAAGCTCCACAAGTCGACCCTCGACTAGTCGCGGCTGCTGCACTACAGAGATCTGCTGAAGGCCACGCGAGAGCACGTTATGGGCACGCTGAGCCAGCGGGTTGCGAAGGACACCCTCCTCCTCCTCCTCCTCCTTCTCCTCCTGCTCATCCCCCCATCTCGTCCATCATGCGCCTCCTACTCGCAGGAGGCGTTGGAATCCGTGGCGGCGAGGAACGAGGAGGCGTGGAAGCTCTCCACTGGCGCGGATGGCTTGGCAGAGGACACTGCAAAAATGCTGCGAAACATGCTCCGTGATGTTTCGCAAGCGCTGCTGAAGACCTCGGGTATACGTAGGGCCAACAGCTGGAGGCG